ATATTAAGCAATGAGTTGAGAGTACCAATTTTTTTTTTTTAACTGTTGGCAGAAAAGAGCTTGTCATGGAAATATCTACGTTTTTGCGACAACTTAAGTTCTTGAACGGATTTTCTAAAAAATAAATAAAGGATTAAAAAATAATTAAACAAAAATATCACCTTCTATTCAATTCCAATAACAAAATCATTTGAATCTTGTGTGCATTGTTGTAACATGCAACTATGCGTGAAAACAAGTTGAGCTGAATGTCCATTGCAAGTTTCCTTTAATTTGTTTAGTGGAAAATTTGAAACCACCAACCCAGCAAGGTTGTATGTCCGAATCTTTTGACAATAAAACTGGGCTTTTGATTTGTCAAAGTATGGAGATTTTTTTTTTTCAAAGAAAAATCAAATCCGAGAAGTTGTCTTTTGCTTCAACGCTGATGCTAACGCGCTGTCGAGTGAACTAGTTTTCTCGCGTGAGTGGATCGCGCTATACCGATGACTTTGTCAGGACAGGCGTGAATGTGAGAGAAATCAATCTACAATATCGCCTTGAGCCAAGACTAGTGGAAAGCTTGAGAAGTGTCACTGAGAATAATTTTTGGATCAAAATTACATTCGGATCGTTCGATAAGAACGTTGGTTTTAGTATTTTAGAATATTTTGCTCTTGTACTATTCAGTCTTGTTAGTTTTAATGAAAAAAAAAATATATTATTTGCAATGGTTGTTATTGATATATACCAAGTGATTTGCTAACTAATGGTTAAATAACGGTTACTTTTAAATGATATTCTTCACAATGCCAAGCATCGTTTGTTGTTGTTAAAATAATTTGTCTACAATTTTAAATTTTCTGGCTATTTGATCTTCATTTTTCTCTGATATCAATGCGGCCTGCGGTCCGTATTGTCTACCTGCGTTTAATATAGTCAGTTATATGCACTTGGCGTTGTGGGGTTTTCTGGAATTGATCACACTTGTGGATTTTAGTTCGTCGCATTATTGGAGTGAAATTTATGTACTTAATTTATTCTTTTCAGTAATTGTGTAGTTTTTTCTTTATGTAGACGATTTATTAATCATGTAGTCAGTGCGAATTTATACGTGGTGTCTGGCGATAATATAGCTCGATAGAGTTTTTCAACATGAACATTTTTATGTAAACATATTTCAGTAATTTCATAATCTGGTGCCTGGGGTAATGTACATTGTAACTTGCGAGTTATTCCACCCAAAATATTATTGATCACATTTTATGTGGATTATATTTCTTGATATCATTGGGGAATATTGATGTATTGAATACAATATACAGGGTGAGTAAAAAAAAACCCAAACGAAACCCAAATGTCGGGACCATTGTTTTAGTGAAGTTTCTTTCAGCACTTTCAAAATCTAGGATATGAAAGCCCAATTCATAAGCTTTCTGTTTGTGCAAGAATTATTCAAATCACGCATGTTCTTTTCAAGTTACGGAGTTTTAAACACAACCACCGTTTTGAAGCTCTGTCTACGGATCACAAGAAAGGTGTGTGTTCTTTCAGCAAAACGAAAACAATTCACACACATCCTTGTGTGATTCGTTTTCGTTTTGCTGAAAGAGCACTGAACTTTTTTTGTGATCCGTGGACAGAACCTTAAAGCGGTGGTTGTGTTTAAAACTCCGTAACTTGGAAAGTACATGAGTGATTTGAATAATTCTTGTGCTAAAAGAAGGCTTATGAATTGGGCTTTCATATCCTAGATTTTGAAAGTGCTACATGCAGAACTTTACTTTTAAAAAAATGGTCCCGATATTTGGGTTTCGGGGTTTTTTTTACTCACCCTGAATTGAAATGTTATTTAAATATTTTTTTCAATAATGTATGTTATAATTTATGTAGACGGACGATTTAATATATGCATATTGATAAAATTTTTGATGTATCTGGTGCCTGATGGTGATGTAGCCCGGCAGTTTTTGAACGAACATTATTCTACAAATTGAAATGTTTTTGTGCATTTCAGTTTAGGTTTTGTTCAGAGAACACTTTGAGCCCAGTCGCGGAGTACATGAACTTTTGATTGCAAGGGAACGTTCGATGTTGGGATTTGGACTTTTAGCAAATTTCCTTTCTGGTAATGTTCAATTATATATACTTTTAATGAAAACATGAAATGGTTAATGTGTTTATGCTGGTATACATTTCAATTAACGCAGTGATTGTGTAACTAACGATTGGCTAGAATAGTGGTTATTTTAACGACAGCTCCAAACATCGTTTATGGCTCATAATATCTAATGTGATCGTGGGGCTTTTAGTCCATCGTGACAACCTGTATAATTGTAGCCACCGTATTAATTTTAAACCTGTTTATTGTTGATGTACCCTAACGTGGCGCGGCCCCTAACGTGGCGCACTTTGATTTTTTTACCTGTAGCGCTATAGCTAGAGCAAAAGTTTTGACTGAAATTTCACAGAAAGTGAGATTTCATCAAGATAAACACTCCCGTTCATAAATCGCGAGTTTCTTTACCCCGTTACGAAGTTAGAAGGCAAATTTATTTTGGCGTGATTTTCCAATTTTATTTTGAAGTGCAAAGTGAACCCTTTAAAAATGCCCCGAAAAATTAGAAAATAAGTTTCTGATAAACTTCTGGTTGGGTATGTAAGTAGAGATATTAATGGTTTATCAGAATTTATCAACTTTAAAGAAATTCTTAAATGTTCATTTGGAACGTTCAGAGATGTATTCAAGTGTGCCACGTTAGGAAACTCGGCTAATTTTATGCCCAATTTCCGGACGCCACCGTTTTTGAATTTCGGATTAAATTTCATGACACCGAAATTGTTCACAGAGGTTAAATAGCACGCATTAATAAGATAATAGTACCAGTATTTCACTGCATGAATTTGAGGTTTGTCAACAAAGAGGTTTGGCAACACTATACGAGGAAAGTCGGGTAAACGTCGAAGTGCGCCACGTTAGGGAACACCACTATGTATACTCGATTTGTTGAGACTATCTCTAGTCACACATATTGTAATAATTTCCAAACTGTTTACTCTCTGTTATTTTCTTTAAAAAAAAGTGATTGTCAACAAAGATAAATGCAGCACAGAAAATCAAGAAGCTGTCATGGTAAAAAAACTACAGAAATTGTTGTCTTTGTCTTAAATCAGTTGTCTTTACTCTATCTATGACGTCATCACACAGTCAAGTTCTCCTTTGCTTTCCTACAGTTCCTGGATTACACTTTAAAATACATTGAAATATTTCTACATCCAATTTTTCATTTAACATATAAACCTAAGTGAACTTAAAACATGCATGACCTAATAAAAAAAATAAGGAAAAACCACGTAGTACACATTTTCAAATCCATGTAGTTTGTGTACTCAAGCCTTAGGCCAAAAAAAGTCTCCAGTTGCTGGTATGGAGCTTGCCCAAAAAGTGGTGCGGCGCCGGACGCGGCTTTTTTTTTTTACCCGTCTTTTTTGCTTCAAATGTCGGCTGATGACTGCAAATGGTGCCCGACTAAACTTAGTGCAAATATATGGGAGTCCGGAGAGGCCACATAAAGCTTATTCTCGATCATAACCCATCTAAAAACACGTTAAAATTGTGCAGCAGCAGGATTCCAGTCAAACCAGTAAGTTTGGCGGTTTTGAGACATCATTCTTATATTGAAAAAAAAAAACGTTTTCATTTTGCCGACGCGCATGGCTACGGCGACGTGCGCGCATACCAGAAACCGGAGACTTTGTTTTTTGGCCTTAGGTCTACAGTCACAAAATAAGTAAACGAAATATTTTACACACAAAAATGGGATTATAATGCCTCAATAATACATTTGCAAGTAGTCGAACCAAACTTGTCGCGTATTAATATTATAGAATGGCAATAAATCCTTCGAAAATAAACATTCTCATGTCTGAATTCACTATGTAAAACAACATCATCATTTCCTTCCACATAAATAAGAAATTTCCATCATATGTATAGGCCTATTCGAGGCACAAGTGTGCTGAGCTCATTATTTTGTTTTGGTCATGTGAGGGCGCTGTTTTTCTTAAGTTTTTCTTTAAAGTGAACAATGTAATTCGGAAAATGCATATATTTTTGTGAAAATTTTGAGCAGGGGATCAAGTCAGTCCTAGCTTATGCACATACTATCTACCATATATAATGACAAAATAATTATTCGCAAAAAGTCTAAATCCGAACTCAACTCAGCCCAAGAATTCCGAAAATTGATTATTTTGTCACTTTTAAAGGGAATATACATCATTTGCTTTTGCTGTAATTTTCAGAAATGGATGGAATTGGGGGGTTGGAAATATATAGCAAATATAGTAACACTGACTTTTTTGAGGTTTTGGGTTCGAAAATGCTATAAAAACCAAGAAAAACAATCATTTTCCTGTAGTCTGGTTCCCTGACTCCATTTAAGAAGAAACAGAGCAGTTTACATATATTGGGGAATTGTAAGGTCAGGGAACCAGTCTAGCTGGCTTGTACCCGTTCATAGGTGTGTAATCGATTGCAAACAAGTGCGATGGTCAACTGGGGCCAGTATTTGAAAAAAGCCAGTTTTTTCCAACGCTGATCGGCCGATCAGCGTTGGAAATTGATACAAAAATACCACTTTTCTTGAAAATGACAGTATACCAGGTGCCATGATTTTACAGGATGCTTTACACTGTCATTCACTAACAGTCCAGCAAGGTATTTCAAAATGATTTGGTAGTTTTATTTTTTGATGTTTGCAAATGTTGTATTTTCCCTTTAAATGCTAAATACAAAACAACCCTTTTGTGCTTCGATTTATATTATGCTGATAATACTTAGCTTGTGGTATCTCTCACACTCACACACACCCTAGAAAAAAATCCTGGCGACGCACATGCGGCAATGCCAATCATTAATCATTTTTTTAAAAAGGTACTAAGATTTTTTGTATAAAAGTTATAGAATGCCTTCTGGGCTCGCTTAACTCGCGCCCTCAATAAAATCAGGGAGGTTATGATATTGAGGGCGCTACAACAAACAGCTCCAGACGTACATGCTGTACACGTGCATGATGTGTTTGTGATGAAACCTGGCTTCAAAAGTAGGCTAATTTGTTACAGGATTTATTCATTTTAACTTTAATTAGAGTTCTGGGAGACATCGTATCAGTTACATAATGCAGCACGACGACGTAAGTATTTTCTATTGTGTATGTCTTGAAATGAAAGAGTGGTCATTCAATGTCAAATGAATCATGGAGGAATAAAAACACACACTTAGGTGCCCAATTTCCGGACAAAATGCCAACCATCCCTACTGCTACTACTCCCTAGACTGACAATATTAAGAATTTGAGAAGCGCAAGGGAAAGAATGTTGCAACCTTACGCCACCTTTTTCTTCAAAAATCATCTCAATGAAGGTCAGTAATTGCAAAAATGTTGAAAAGGCATGGATCTGGGGCAAACATTTCCAATTTTGTCATGTTCTCTTGACTTTCCGCTGAAGAAGATTCTTATTTTTTTGTGATAAAAACAACAAAATGAAAATGTTGGATAAGCGCGATGTGACTGGACTTTTGATGGACTTGACTAGGTGTTATGTCCATGATACAGCCATCGTAACTTCACATGTTTGTGGAAGTTTTATCATATTTTTTTTATGGAGAACATCATCATCAAATATTATTTATATTAAATTATTATGCTTCCAGTGGTAATCAGCATTTTGTATGCTTTTGTAAAAAGTACCCAGATGACTGCAATATTACATTGGTAAAAGTACCCGGATGAAGACAATATTATTTTTTGATATTGTCCTCATCGGAGCATTTTAACAAATTCACTGGTTCCCGCACAATCAAACGGGTAGAAACTCACTCATGTCAACCAATCAACAGAGCGTAGTGCGAGTTACTGTCACACGCGGACGCAGTTAACGCGCAGCAGGGTTTGCCTGCACTGTTATCAATGGCAGCTTCGAGAGGCGCGAAATTTGATTCAGTAAGCGAAGAATATTCATTGAAATTTGAGAAATTAACAGAGTGTCCTGAAATTTATTTCAGCCTGATATAAACAATAATAATATTGGATAACTTTTTTTTCAGGGATACAAGAATATTAAGACAAGATACATGTAAGTTTTGCGGTAGCACCATGTGAATAAATCTCTTTTGTGAGTATGTGTGGTTCTGAAAAGAACCGGAGGGACTCAACGTTTCGAACAGTATGCTCTGCTCGTCGTCAGGAGAATGAGGGATTCCAACGATGATGCGATGTTATAAGGATCTCCGGTTTCTTTTCAGAACCACACATACTCACAAAAGAGATTTATTCACATGGTGCTACCGCAAACTTATCTTGTCTTAGTATCTTTCCACCATGCAAACCTTCAAATCTCATCTGACAAGAATATTATTTCACTCGTTATTAACAATATTGCACTCGTCATCGACTCGTGCAGTATTATTAAAGCTGGTGAAATATAGTCTTGTATCCGCCTCAAAGCCATCCAATATTTTATAACTACCATTGGATTTGGTGAACAGTATTTTATGAGTAAATGTATCAATCATCATTTTTTTCCCTGTGTATCGCAGGTGATATGGAGCATCATCAATACAACATTCTGTTCTTACAAGGTCAACGCTAAGACGCATCAGTTCTGTCGGAATGAGTATAACTTAACAGGCCTCTGCAACAGATCCTCCTGCCCTCTGGCTAACAGCCAGTATGCAACAATCAGGGAGGAAAATGGTAAATCATTTTTCTCTTTTTTGAGAATATTGCAGACACCCAAAATCAAAAAAGAATCAAATTTGGCAAGATTACCATATGCGAAGTTCACTAATTTTCCTCTGTATTGACTAACAAGCCCCCAGATAGCAATTTCATGTCATCAAAGTCAATTTGAGCAGTGAGAAAATACAAGCATTTTCTTAGAAAACACTTAGAATTTTTCAGTCCACTCTCATAGGGTTTGTACACAGAGTGTTGAGTGAACTTCGTATATGGAAATCTTTCCTAAAATGTATTGAAATAAAGCAAACGAGTTGAAAATTTATCAAGAGAGAAAATATAGAATTTGCTATGAATTATTTTATTTTCAGGTGTGTGTTTCTTGTACATGAAGACCATCGAGCGGGCGGCCTTCCCAGCCAGGATGTGGGAGAAAGTCAAGCTGTCTCGGAACTACGAGAAAGCCCTGGAGCAGATCAACACACACCTCATCTACTGGCCCGGCTTCATCAAGCACAAATGCAAGCAACGCTTCACTAAGATCACCCAGTATCTGATCCGCATGCGCAAACTCACACTGAAGAGACAGTGAGTTGGTTGTTTCTTTAATTGGAATTTTTTGTTGTTGAAAAATCCCTTAACCCAAACCTTCCCAACTCCATCAAAATCCATCCCCCCATTTTGGTGGATTTTGGGGGGCTTGGCCCTGCAGGCCTGATTTGACTAAATATTGATGGAGTATGATGGACTTGGGCCTGCAGGCCTAAAGCAAAGCCTGCATTGGAAGCAGTTTGATTGATGGATTTTGGCGGACTTGGTCCAGTACTCAGTAAAAGACAGTAGGGGGTTAGGGTTAAAGGGGCACTTTCAAGAGAATGCACCCTTTTTGGGTGTGAAAATATGTTTACCATGAAATAAAATTTAGTTGGATAGATCATTAAAAAGTTGAAAGAAGGATATTTACCCAACATGTCGTAGGGCTGTGCGTCTGTACAAGGGACCCAAGTACCCGACCGTTAATGCCTCGAACCTGTTCTAGATTATGGGATCAGGTACCCATAACCAACTTTACAAATTATTTAGTTACTTCTCCAACAATGAAACAGAAAGGTCTTGGAAGTAATTTGTGGGGAATTTTCAAAATGAAAACCAGGCCACATGGGAAATCAAAACGTATTTATGTTTATGACGTTCGCGAAAGCTGCAGTTTACACCGTAAAGCTATAAAGCTCACTGTACACACTTGTATCTTGCTGTATTGATGCGCCGATGCGGTAGTACTATCGTGCGGACCTTTGTAAACAGTCTCAACAGCAACTTCCAGGATTTGAATTTTGGCAGGTTGGCATTGGGTTTCTTTAACCGTTACCCAGGTACCCATGATTTTTTTCAATCGGGTAGCTGGTTCTTGTACTACCCGTAAATGCACACCCCTAACATATTGAGGTATTTTTGCTTCAAATATTCCACAGGAAAAAGTTGGTGCCACTCAATCGCAAAGTTGAACGGAGGGAGAAACGTCGTGAGGACAAGGCCCTCATAGCTGCACGCCTGGACAACGCCATCGAGAAGGAACTTCTGGATAGGCTAAAGAAGGGAACAGTGAGTCCATTCAAATGTCAGAGAGGGATGACGGAGTCCCTGTTTAGACCATTATCATGTTGCGGCCATCTTGATTTGTTTCCATTCAAATCAACGTAACCAAAGCGAGGCTGGAAGGAAAAATAGTCTGGCTCCTTTTTTCCACAAAAAACATTGTCATCCAGTACTGTTATTAGATACAGGGAACATGACTGAAATGGTGGCCGCATGATAAAGGTCCATAGTGATGTTCCCTAATGAGGCGCACGTCAAGGTTTCCCCCGACTTTCCTCATGCAGTGTTGGCAAACTTCTTTCTTGACAAACTTCAAATTCATTCAGTTAAATACTGGTTCGTTTACCTTAATAATGCTTGCTGTTGAACCTTTGTGAACAATTTCATTGTCATGAAATTTAGTCCGGAATTCAAAAACAGTGGCGTTCGGAAATTGGGCTCAAATTCGGCCGAGTGCTCCCTAACGTGGCGCACTTAAACAAATCTGGGAAAAATCCCAACTTAATAACAGTAAAGAATTTCTTTAAAGTTGATAAATTCTGATAAACCATTATTATCTCCACCCACCTACCCAACTACAAGTTTTTCAGAAACTTAAACAAAACACACAAATGGGAAATTTGTTAGGGGAAAGATCAAGTGTTTTTCATGAAGACTGGCATTTTTAAAAACACCCTCATATCCTCGAACTTGATGAATCACATTGACTTTATTAAACAATGTTCTGATGAGCGTTTACATTTCTTTTTTTCTCCCCAAAAGTACGGTGACATTTACATTTCTTTTTTCTCCCCAAAAGTACGGTGACATCTACAACTTCCCCGTTACCGCCTTCGACAGAGCGTTAGATGATCAGGAGGAGAATGAGGATGAGGAGGAACGAGAAGAAGAAGCAGAAGAGGAGGTAAAAAATCAAGTGTAAAATAAATTTAAAATTTGCTTTGACCATTATTCACTGGCTGTAGTTAAAATGGTAAAAAAATTGTTCATGAAAATGTGGCAACACATTTGGTTCTTTTCACGATTGCCTGGGCTGTATCTATGGCCTGAATGATGCGTTAAGAATGGTTCTTTTACCGTGTGTTAAAGACCGATTGCCAAAATACTTGGCAATGGAAAGTGGCTTAAGCCCGGTTCATACTTCACGCGAAGGCGAATGCGAAGCGAATTTGACGTCATGAAACATTCGCTGCGAAATTCGGCCGAGTTGAAATATGTTCAACTTTTACGAATTCGCAGCGTGAATACTTGCCATGACGTCACAAATTCGCGTTCGCGTTCGCTTTCGCACCGAATACAAACCGGGCTTTCAGCCTATTCCCACAGATGACTGTGTATACTGCTGACTTAGCCAAATAACGCTGAAGCGGCTACCAAAACTTTGGCCAACGTTGTTCACTTTAGTAAGCACGAGCAACCACATCGCTTTCTTCCAGTGTTGGAGGAAGCAGTCCATAGGCTGTATGTAAAGTCCTTGCAACTTTTGCAACCAACTTTACAAATTGCTGGGTTTGTGAATATTCGGCAATTTGCCAGGACAGTCCACGAAAGTCTCTCGACTTCTTTCCAGTGGGGTCCCTTAGTAGAAGATGTGGAAGGAAATTACGGTTTTAGTGATCAGAGGAAAACCCCAGAATGATATTTTAGGGAAACCACCGCAGAATCAGGTAGGGACTGAAAACCTGATACGCATATAAAGTTCCGAGGTGATGTCATGAAGTTGGACCCACATACCCAGATGTCTTTGTTCTCATCGGTTTTTGCGATGTATTTTCTTTCCAAGGAGGAAGAAGAAGAAGTGGAGTACGTAGCCGAGGAAGATTTCGAGGAGAGTGATCTGAGTGATTTTGAGGTGAGCAACATGTGTTTTTCTTTCAGATAAACAAGATGTGTTATAAACTTGTTTGCAGATTTGGACTTCTGGTGTCCGACATTGTCTTGCTGACTTAGGTTGAAATGCTCGCCAGGGTTCAAAACAGTAGTAACAGGGCAAAATAAGCTCCGTTTGCACGAAACAAGTGTGAAACGATGCGGGGTTGAATGTGGGGTTGGAAAATTTTAAAAACTCAACCCAGGGCGGCATTGGGTTCGCCCAGGGTTGAGTACAACCCCGGGTTGAGAGACTCTAGTTTGAAAAGCCCCCCCCCCACACCATCCAAACCCCACCCACTCCCACAGTGCAATAATAAATGCAAACCTCACCGATGGTAACATCGTGTCTCATCTTTCGCAGGACATGGACAGATTGCGAGCGGAGGGGGCCAACGAAAGCGACGAGGACAGCTCATCGGAAGACGACGATGAAAAAACCAAGAAAATGCTTCGGCGGAAGCGGGCACATGTTGAAATCGAGTATGAGCAGGAAACGGACCAGCCGTCGACGTCCAAACAGAAAGTCAAAGCAAGATGATCGTGCCCCCCACTCTTTTGTTCCTTGACTCCGCCCTTTTTGATTCTTTTCTGAACTTTGCAACCATGATGAGTGGTATAGCACTACTTGTCTCTCTTGCATGTTTTTTGTTGGACTGCTTTCGAGATGGCATTTGGCAACTTTTACCGGTCCTTAAAGCTATAGTCCATCATTTGCAGCTATCCGAAAAGTAGCTGGCGTAATTATTGTTGAAAAACATACTTGGTTGAAAGATAGTAAGGGGACTAAACTCCCTGTGAAATTATTCTTTCTGGCAAGCTGTCATTTTGAAGTAATCAAGGAAAGAAGGCCTTTCCAACGGTGCTTCTTAAGACGCACCGTAGGAAAATTTAAAGTAGTAGTTCGTTTTGTTATTCGGCGAAGCGCACGCAAGCATTGGCACGACGCACACGCACCCCCGGTTGCTATAATTCGTCGGATCAGTGCGCGACATCGTGTAGCTGCATTCGGCTCAGCGAGAACGTGTCTCGGATGCTGAATTCAGGCGCAATTCAAAACATGATTCAGCAACTTTTGATTTGAAATTGAGATGAAGCTGAAGCTGAGCTGAAACTTTATCAGGTTAGTTGTTCAGTACCCTTCTTTAGATTTTGAGCACTTTTGTTGCCTCAACAAACAAAATGCACAAATTACAAATGATGGACTATAACTTTAATTCATCTTGTTAAATGCGTTGTGCCCACATTTGTTTACATGTATTTCAACAGTATAGGTGGTACATTACAGTAACATATGTGGGTACATATTCTGCCAATGAAACCTTGCAAATGGTCACACTTTTATCAAAGCTTAAATCTTCCAAACTGTTCTCTAAAAATTTTCTTTCTCGAAACAGAGAATTTCATCGACTCAAACCTCCCATGGCACCATATATGATTAATATGATTGTGTTTTGCTGTTTCGTCAAGATTGTTTTGAGGCAATTGAGGGAACAATTTAATTATTTGTTTTAGACAACAAACTCTCCCGAAATATGATAATAATTGCATTTCTGGTAAAACATTGTTGACCTCTGACTTACAAGATTTACTATAAATAAATTTATCGCAATGTCGGTAAATCTCTCTAAACACAAGAACATGTTTTTGTCAGTTTAATTTGTCAAAGTTTCTATATTTTGTAACTTGACATGAAATTCTGTTACTGTATATAGAGTCAAAATTTTGCACGAGGGACTCAGAAGCTGATGATGATCTCCCCAATGCTATTCTATGGAATATCCCCCTTGCACAGCAAGGGTCTATAATTATGCGAGCAGATTTGGCGATTAATTATGCAACTAGACTTTGCCTTGACCTCGAGATTCTGACCATTCAGCAGGCACCTTCTATCGGGTCTGCGGTAACCCATTTTGAAAAGCCAGTGTCGGGTTTTATTAAATCTCTATGCCAATTGTGTTACAAAAACATGGCATCCAAGTTGACCAATTAACAGCTGACGTCATGTGGACTCCCGTTGGCTGGTGGGCGGGGCCGGGGTTGCATAAATTTGCATGTTTAGAAATATGGGGGAGCGGGGATCTGTTGGACAACGGGTGATACTCAGTCTACCCCAATGCCTGGGGAAAAAAATTGATGTGGTAGGGTGGGATCAGTCATTTTCACACCTAAATTGCAAACTCAAGGAATGGATCTATTATGCAGTATCTGAGTTTTTTCTTTGGTAAATTGTGCTTGTACACGTGGTGCGGTTGTGGCACTCGACTGCAAAGAAGTAGTATATTGTCAAGAGAGGGCGCAATTTGTCATGAAAAAAATTGGCTACTTTTCTCCTCAAGGTTAAGCTCCCGGACGTCACTGTTCGATTTGCAAATACGTTGATGTTTAGTATACGAAAGTACCAGGCTATCCTATTGCATTTATCGTCTGCGCGCGAAGCAGAAAGGGAAAGTGACAAATATTGAACAAAAAAGTTGTTGAGTTTGTGCTGTTTTCTTCAAAGGAGAGTCTTGTTTTCAGGGAATTTTAGCGGCATATTATTTCTGCGATATATTTTTATCTCACGAGCTGAGAACTTTTTGATAGTGCGCCCTGTTTTATGTGAATACCTCAATTCAAGTTTGGTGCGAGTGTTGAGGATTTTTTTCACGGAGGCATCGATCATCACGACCATGGCAGCGGCCGACTGCTCGACGCTTACTGCCCCGTCCGTGTCCACGGAGCAACCGGTTGTTGAGATGGAGACGGATATTGCGAAGGTTGTGGTTGAAGAAACTACGATCATTGAAGAAGATGAAGACGAAGAAGGTATAGTGATAGCAGTAGGATAAACTAGGGACCTTTTCTCGAGGTGCCACTCAAGTTCCAATTCAAACAAAAACTGTTCCCCTCCCAAAAATTCTGAGCGGATTTGGGGGGGGGGGGGGGGGGGTAGCCCGACTGCGTCTGGCCGTACAGTACTATCGCAAGCTCTGTAGTACGGCCAGACGCCCGATGCTTCCACAGAGACTGAATTTTGTTGGCCGCCGATGTAGCGATTTTGCTACATCTTTCCATCGCAATTATCTTTTCATCCAGGACCCAAATTTCCAAAGTTAAGGCTCTTAGTCGTAGAGCAACTCATACCTTTTCGAAAAAAACGTTGTTTGGTCTCAATATTTTCATCCATCTGGCCACAAGACGAATTTCAGTCATCAGATTCCACAAATATCGTCCCCCATGCGATCCCCCATGCGATTTCAAAATGGCGGCCGCGCTGTAATGTATGCAATATGCAGGCGCGCCCCCGCAAACTCATGAATATGCATAACAGTCTGTGACGTATGACCTCGTGTTTTTGGACGTGCGTGCGGCGGGGCCGTACGTCCAAAAACACGAGGTCATACGTCACAGACTGTTTATGCATATTCATGAGTTTGCGGGGGCGCGCCTGCATATTGCATACATTACAGCGCGGCCGCCATTTTGAAATCGCATGGGGGATCGCATGGGGGACGATATTTGTGGAATCTGATGACTGAAATTCGTCTTGTGGCCAGATGGATGAAAATATTGAGACCAAACAACGTTTTTTCGAAAAGGTATGAGTTGCTCTACGACTACAAACCTTTACTTTGGAAATTTGGGTCCTGGATGAAAAGATAATCGCGATCGAAAGATGTAGCAAAATCGCTACATCGGCGGCCAACAAAATTCAGTCTCTGTGGAAGCATCGGGCGTCTGGCCGTACTACAGAGCTTGCGATAGTACTGTACGGCCAGACGCAGTCGGGCTAGGGGGGGGGGAACTTGGACCCAACTTATCGCCTTTTTTAACATTTGGACATGGTCTGGCGATAGTCGCCAGACCATGTCCAAATGTTAAAAAAGGCGATAAGTTGGGTCCAAGTTACTCGGACTGGGGGGGGGGGGGCAGGCCAACTGCAAGGGATGGGTGGGGGCTCTACTGCATTTTTTCCTAAACAATGTTTGTAGGCCTAATTCAGTAAAAAAAAAAAAAAGTAAGGTGTGTTACTTTCATGCTTGAGTTTTATTTGTCATTTTAAGCTTGTAATTTTTTGTAACAAAAGTCAAAGTGTTTTTATTTATGTTTATATTAACGAAGTGTTTATATTTACGTGAACCGGTGCCGCATTTTTTCCGAGGTTGTGCAGGCACTTCCTCCATGCTTTGCCCATGTGTACCTTTTCAATTTCAAGTACCGGTGTGCATGGTGTGCAACTGCAATATCTAACTAAATAACCATCCTGATCCGAGGAAATGTGTACGGATGAGGCATTGGACTGACCCCTGGCCCACTGAGTCTGACCTGAATTAGGACGCGGCCATGCACAACATTTTAAAAAAAAATCATTCTCCCTAAATTAAGAGTTTTCTTCCTTTATTGATAAATAATTTGAATCCTACATGTACATTTAAATGATTGCAGAACATTTCATCTTTTTTTTCTTATTCATTTTTTTTTTTTTTAAATAAAGGAAATAGAGTCTGAAATTACAATACATGTAGGTCTGATTTCCGTCTCCTGATGAATACGAAGTCTCAACATCAATGTAAGTGCAGGACCAGAATAAGATTTATCACAGTAAAATGTCTTAAGCCCCGAAAACATGCAATGTGCATATTCAGTGCCGTTCCTGTACAATAGCAAAAACAATCGAGGACCGATTCATTGTCAAACAATACACTGCCTTTTTGTATACTATAAAAGAAATTACATTAATTTTAGACACACCTTTCATGGTTATTATGAATGCCATACTTTGTTGAACAGGTTTTAGAAAAAAATGAAATATATGTAGGCCTACATGGCAACGTGCGCATGGCTGCCATTTTCCTATTCCTGAAATTTGAAAACTGTAGAGAAACTTTACGTTTATTCAAACGAGAGCCAATGTCTACCACGTTGCTGTATTGTTAAGACTGGTATCCACCAATTGAGTTGTCCCAGGCAACGGTACTGGGGGAGGTGGGGGTGGGGGGGACTGAGAATAGCTGTTGAATAATTTCAACAGATAGCTTTCTTTTGGTTTTTCAACAAAAGCAAAATTTGCTAATTGATGGGAAAATTTGCTAATTGATGGGAAAATTTGCTCAACTTTGACATAAAACTATGACATTTCTCACTTATTGAATTACCTGTCCAAAGTTGCATACACATACAAAATGTATGTACCCACAATGACATGACCCTAATTTGTCCGATATTGCCATATTTGTACTGCATCATCTAGGTATGTAATGGTGTACACGTAATGCCCCAAAAATATTCCCTGTACTGCTTTGCCATTTGACTCAGTTTCCTCTGCCGCACAACACTTGAAACAAGCTCGTTCCATTAAGTCGACGTCTCATCATCTAATTCCCTGGTTATAAAATTGAATGGCCTTTTTTTTTTTTATTGTCATTGCAAAATGAAGCGTTCACGATTTCAAGATAATAACAGCGGGGCTCTTCCCCTTGTTCAGTCGGGGCCGGCTTGTTGCGGCGTGATCCAGCGGACAAAAATTAACCCATGATGGATGGGTTTTGTGGTTACTGTAGCCTTTGATAATTTAATACTTAAATCCATCCATTACAATTCCCCCAAGTCGTGCAGTATGCTCGTGACATCAACTAGATCCATAATATGCTTGGTGATCAGATCCCTGATTAAAATGGCGCCGTTGTTGAACCCATTAAAATTTGAAGCAGATGCCCGCCTTTGATTACTCTGTTGAAGTTAACTCCGCACTAATGGGCCGTTTCTTTTCCAGTGGTTGGTGAAAGGACTCGAAATTGTTTTGAAGTTGATCGGTTGAAACTTTTAATGCACTTTCTGAAATTACAGCGAAATAATTGTAAGCATTTTCTGTCTACTCTTCTTGTTCTAATCTGTACAGTACTGAATCCTTCGACCCTCTTGAGTTTCTTCTGAAAGGTACTGGTAGAGTACATCATTTGTCATTTGTGAAATTTTTTTTAACAACAAAAGTGCTCAAAATCTAAAGAAGGGTGCTCAACACTGATGAAGTTTTAGCTCAATGGAAGCTGTATATTCCGAGACTACAATATTCTAGGATCTCGATTTCAATTCAAAAATTGCTGAGTCATGTTTTTTTATTAGGCCCAAAATCAACGTCTGGGATACGCAATTCAGCAGATTGCAGGGCTACATGTATGCGATGTCACGCACTGAACCGACAAATTATAGCAACCGCGCACACGTGTGCGTCGTGTCAACCCCTGCTTGCACCAGTCTCCGAATTAAAAACGAATTACTAACGAAAGTTTCCAAAAATGCATCTTTAGACGCATCGTTTGAAATGACCTTCTCTTATTGTCTTCTTCAAAATGACAGCATGCCAGAAAGAAAAAGCTGAACCGGGAGTTCAGTGCCATTACTATTTTTAAACCAAGTAAGCTTTTCAAGAATAATTTCGTCAGTTACTTTGTGGATAGCCGCAAATGATGTACTCTACCTTTAATGCTTGATCCTGTCTCTAGGAAAACAAGTCAGCGCAACAAGAGGCACATACTTTTAGCCAGGGGCTTCCACCCCCGCAAAAAAAAAAAGAAAAAAAAATCCATGCGCATTAACCAAGGAGAAACAACTATATTGATCTCATCTGTCCAATTTCCGAAATTTGTTGACATTGATTTTTTTCCCCCTTCTTGCTTTTCATCTTGAAAACCCTCGGATCACCCGTGGCGTCACTGCCAGTATTGTGTTCCGCGCAGCAGCTTTTGCATTTCATCCTATGCTGGGTTAGCCAAACACGCGCTATTTCAAGCGGACTTAACATTTAAAAAAATTCCCTCGGATCTGTTGCCTCGGGATATGATAAGAGTGAAGGGGGGGGGGGGGGGGGTTGGCATACAAAAAAAAAAGTCAGAGAAAAACAAACATGTTCTTGTTTGACTGCAGCGTACAAGATTCACTGTTGCTGATATTCTGTTGATTTAAGAACTGAAGGGTATTTGCCGAGCATTACTATCTTTTCTAGGAGGTAGCTCTGAAAGATCGTGTTTCTTTTTTTTCTCTTTTTTTTTTAAGATGACAGATAGGGAGATTCAGTTTGGATTCAGCTGCCTGAGTGTGGAGTACCCACAAATATTATTTCAAGTCAGAAATGCAAAGCCGGATGTTAACATTTCATGGGGTTGTCGTCAATACATGTATTGAATGAAAGCTTTGATGCATGTACCGGTATGCATACATTGTACATGTGTACGTATCCATGGATGCCATAAGGTTGTTTTGAAGAATTTTTTCTAAATTGCAAGTATTTTGCCTTACGTGATTTTGTTTTTTATATTGGGAATCAGTGTTGCATTTAGTTCAATCTGGCACGTGTTTATTGCAAGACCTTCAAATTATCCATTGTACAGGCCTGTTTAAGAAGTTTGTTTGAAACAGTGGCACTGTATTCTCATTGTTTGACTCGCATACATCAGGGGTGTGAAATCTCAGCTTTAAAGCTGATTGTCACTCACACCCTGGCCCTGATACATGCATTTTGCCTCAGACAATTAAAATGACTGATAGAAAGGATTGGTCTTGACAGTGGCATTGCTGTCTCAAAAATTGGTTCCCTACAAATGCTTTTTTTGGGGGGCACTTTTCCTGATAACTTGTGGCAATCTGCAAATCAATACACGCATTCAATTTTCTAGGAGCTTTATGTCCAATACCCGTATATATATATATATGCCGGACAAATTTCATAAATTACAGTGATCGCCCGTCGCGGAATTGGCGATCACAATACCAAGGGCGCGGAGCCCCCTCGCTAACCGGCACCTTGCGAGCGGGAAGTATCGTGAACA